CATATATGGTTACTTACCGATCCGTATACGTTTCTCTGTTGTCCATATAGAGATAAATTTCATTTAACAGTTTTCTTTTACTAGTATACAGATATGTGCATACATGGTTACTTACCGATCCGTATAAGTTTCCTCTGTTGTCCATACACAGATATCTGGAGGCCTCCACGCCCCATATCCCGGCCACGCCCACCTCCACCGTGAGAATGTGGACAACAGCTGTGTGAGGAGAGGGAAAAGGCGGGAAGTTGTGAGGACCTTAGTCAGGACTCCTGATAAATGTTCACAGATGTACGTGGGAAGAACAGATAGGACTCATTCGCGAACGACTTTATCAGGGGTGCCAGAGTATACAGTGCAATCGTATTAGTATACAGTGCAATTGTACGGAATACAGTACAATCGTATTAGTATACAGTGCAATTGTACGGAATACAGTAAAATCGTATTAGTATACAGTCCAATTGTACGGAATACAGTACAATCGTATTAGTATACAGTGCAATTTTACTAGTATACAGTGCAATTTTACTTCTTACTACTTAGGCCATGTTGATTTGATTATATGGATGACATCCTCTGGGAACCCCAAAACTGATGCGCGCGTGCGAATAAAAAAAAGTTTTGCAAAAAAAAAAGTTGCTTTCACTATGAAATCTACGTGGTCATGAAGGTTGAACAAATGGCACAGAATATGTTATGGCGAATAATCTACTCTTCGAATTCATTTCTTTACATTTTTGTCTTTTTTCCTTTGATTTTGGCATTCTACGACATTGTATCGTTTCTAAATGTTTTCCTTGCAACTTATGGTATATTGTTGCTCATTTAGCAACTGTTTTGCACGATTTACAGTATGGTTGAAAACTTTTTTTTTTTTTGGAAACGGCCGAAAATTCATGCGCGCGCGGATGTCATCCATATAATCAAATCAACATGGCCTTATTGTATTCCGTAAAATTGTACTGTATTCCTTAAAATTGCACTGTATACTCTGTATTCCGTAAAATTGCACTGTATACTCTGTATTCCGTAAAATTGGACTGTATACTCTGTATTCCGTAAAATTGCACTACTCTGGCACCCCTGTTTATAATTCATCCGAGCCTCCGATTGGGTTTGACAAGTGATAGCCACATTGTTTCCGTCGTAGCATGGAAATATAGAACAGAACAGATAACCTTTATCGTACCTTTATCGTACATTCATGCCCTATCGGGCTAAGTACAGGTCAACAGATGCAAAGGTATATAGTACAGACAGGACGTTTGAAACTAATCTAACAAAGCTACTCTAATAGTAATACAGTTGTTCGGCTTCTTCTCGTCTCTTGAAATACAAGGCAGGTTTTCGTCGAAAGCTGGGCGACGAGGTACCGACTACAGTCTCCAATTGCAAGAGGCGTTTTCTGTCTAGCTCCTTTTCCTATAGCGTTAGTGCAATTAAACGTTTGAAGTATTTTAAGTGTTGTAAGTTTTTTCTTTCCTTCCTTACTACTGGCATTGGACATACAGAGGCGAAATTAGTGGCACGGAAACCTGTAAACTGTACGTGCAGTACTTACTACTCACAAAAATCAAGACAAAAAGGCGTGATCATTTTTACATGAAATTGCAAACATTTGGGGGGGGGGCAGAGTGGGTGTCAGTGTAGTGACTATTCTTAATACTTTAAGTGGAGAGCTTCATCTGAGAGCACCGTGAGTGTTTGACCTTTTCCGTGTGTTATAGAAACCTTCTGGTATTAAATGGAGTTTGAAATGACCTTGTCATGTTCGGTCCGCTAGCGACAGAGGTCAGGCAGATGAGAAATTATGACTGACCTTTCATTAACTTGTTTTTCTGACTTACTACACCCGTCAAAACATGTCAGATCACATCCAGGCACTTAAACGTTGTTGCACAGGTGGTCGCTGCACAGGCCGAGTTGAGTTTCAAACACAAGTTCAACTGTTGCTGCTATGACTTGGTGTGTGTAGTCTGTGTGAAACCAACCGACTGCGGTAAAAGTAGTCTCTTTGGTACCGGTGTGTTCAGTGGTATCATCCGGTGAACTTTGGTTTTCTACATTTTTTTCTACAATGTATGATGAAAGCAGCTAGGTGCCCTTTCACAAATAACCTCGCAACAGCGATTTGAATATATTTCTTATCAAAGGTTTGCCTAAAAACAATAAAGAAATAGCAAATATGGAAAGAACTGGGTTTGGAAGTTGGTTCTTCCCTGTGACCATTTGTCAGAGTAGATTGTTAATTTTTAGTACCTTTCTATCATGTTTTCTTTTAACCGTTTTTTGGTTGCTCTTATGGTGTATTTCTTCCAATGCCACTCTCAACCCCCTCCATATGCACGATTCCCATACCCATCACTATAATTTCGAAGAGAAGAAGCAGACGAAAATGAAGGACGACAGCGGAATTTTCCACCCCGAGCGCCGCTCTATACTTGGGTCGCGCAGCCGTAACAGATGTATAATCATGTCCAGGCGTTTATGTGTAACGATCCATAACATATCTCCCCAAATTTGCCACAACCGCAGCTCCGAGTGAAACGCAAATCACCTGTAAGCGCTATACTATAATTTTCCGGGTGGGTGAACACCTGTCGCTGCAGACCATATCGTCTCAGGTGGTCTGAGCAGCCCTCTGACGTCCTGACATGTGGGGAGTAGAGATATAGAGGAGGATAAATTAGAGGCAATTGCTCATCGCCTTAAGAAAATGTCGGGCCGCTTAAGATGATAGGGCTGTGCGGGTTTAAAGAACTGTACCAACAGACCACCGGCGTTGTCATGACTTGTGTCGTCTGACCAGCCTGCCTGTCATGTGTTGAACACATGAGATGTCGTCAGCGAGCAGGGCTGACATCGGGAAGTTGGGATCGGTGACGTAGTTTCTCGCAGGGTGGGGCGTTGTTCTGAAAGGGGGTTGACCTTACGCTTGTTTACATTAGTCCAGCTGTTTTTTTGTCGGGGAGGGAGTGACGCAAACTCCACCGCAACTTGTCTAACACGTATGCTCACGTGGAGCTCACAGTAGACGAAACGTGCCAACATATTTCCCGTAGTGCAGTTGTCGCTATCAACACCAAATATTCAATGTCAAATTCAGCAGCAACCTGGTGACTATATGTGCCTGTATGTACTTATGCGTTTGAAGGAACAATATTTCCTCTCCACACTAAGACGTTACAATTATTCAAGGAGGTTTAAAAATTTTAAACCTCCTTGAATTATCATATTGTACAAAATGTTAGAATTAAAGTTCACACATATCTGGATGTGAAATCACTTGTACCAAACAGATTTGTACCATTTACGTTTGGAATTTCTTCCATCCATATTTGCATTGCAAGGCTTAACATTATTCAGAAAGGTGCCTTTTGGAACCTAAGGCACATAGATACTATAACAACATGTAATAGGACAAAATGAGAGTGGTCACAGATATTTGTCAGTGATTCAGAAGTTATGACTGTTCATGAATCATGTTTATTGTACTAATAAGCAGGTAATTACGTACAAGGAACAAAAGGATAAAAGTGCATGCAGTTTTCCGTTACTTTCAAGATGGACGACTATCCCGTCAGAAAATTGAAATCAAAGACGTTACCGCCCTATAATGAAGTGAAGTTGTTGACACGAGGCAAATCCAGACCGTGTCTATGTTTAATTTCCCGTCATAAAATCGCATGTGTAACAAACATCAGTTATTTTCCTATTTACATAACAACACTGATCATTAAGTGGCTTTTCTTCCTGTCGATTTCTGGAAAGGCGAACCTGTCCGTCCAAGTTTTCAAAAGTGGTGATACTGAAAACTTTGAATGATTGTAATCATGCCTTTTGGTGGGTATTTGGAATTCTTGACCCCAAAGGCACCCAATTTCAGGGAAGTAAAACTGTATGTTCTTTTTTTTCTTCATTTTTTTACTCCTATTCCATATCATACTGTTATCTGTGAGGCAAAATGCGATGTCACTGACGGAACACTTGTTGCTTGTTTCATATCATAGGCTGGTTCTAGCTATTTATTGGTGGTACAAAAAATAATTATAAAGGACTTCTCATTCAGCTTGCTTTGGGGCTTTTTGTCACGTTTAGGGGCTTTTTGTCGACGTTTTAAGTATGAAATGGTGACGAAAATGTACTACGAAATGACAGTAAATGTCAATATCAAACAGATTTCCTCATCAACAATATGTCTTCTTTTGCCACCCTTGGATACCTTTATAAATGGGTGGCCAAAACGTGTTGCTTGATGACGTCGTGAGCTCAGTGAGACGACCTATATAATCAAACTGACCCCGCTACTTTCGTCGATAATAAATCTTTAAGCTGTCAGAGATATTAATAGCCAGGTGTTTGTTTCTATTTCAGTGCCCCTTCAGCCCTTGGGTGTCACAACGGAGAAAACTGTAGCGTACTTTAGAACAATGGAGCTGAGAAAAACCAGACAAGCGCCGGGAGGGACAGGTATCACTGAGAATGTTGTAACAAGCAACCCGACCGCAAAACTGTGTGTATCGGGTATAGCCTATGCAAGTAAGTACGATCACGTAGCTCGATTTAATTGTGACCAGTCCAGTCCAACACGCATTTAATCACTTCGTGTCATTGTCCTCCCTCAGACAGTATTATTTTGGTGAGCATGATAACGTTATAGCGACAATTTTTCTTGGATCAATGTCAATGTTATTTTTACTTTTTCATGTTTTATATTCTGGTACTCAGGTAATAATGGTATACAACCTTGTTAAAATTCATACACCTTCGTTTTACATAGCAGCCCCTACACACACACACACCCAATCCGGACCCTTGCACCCCAAACAGTACCCCCCCCCCTCCGGAGTATAAGACCCCCCTCCCCATCAAAACCTTTTTGTCCTGTATAAAAAGTGTAGCTATAAACATCTTTAAACATTTCAGCACAAGCTAGGCATTCCAGCTGACTGCATCTGTCAAACCCGACTGTTCCTTATGACGTGGGCAATTAGCGCGAACCCCCGCCAGAGGCGCCACGGGGCGATGTGGTGACGTGAGCGGCTCCACCTCACTCACAAGCCGCCCGCTGCACGCCAGGCTCCGGGACCGAGCAGAGGGCCTCGGGATGTAAGGATGCGTGGGAACTGCGTGTTTCTTCTTCACGTGGGGGCCAACAAAGTCACACGAACGCGGCGCCCTCAAGTGGCTGGAACAACATGAGCGTAACTAGTCCGCCCGACCTGCGGGTAGTATGGATGTTAGCGTCTGCGGTTGCCATGGTCTGTAATCTGCGAACAGGTCTACCGTGGCCGCACGCCAGGTAGTCTACTGTATGTACTCTCGGAGACTCAGAGGTTGGAATGGCCGCTGTCGTCCTATTTTACTTCTACAGAGTCGTCAACATTGTCTGTTGTCATTGTTTACTCCTCAGACGTCAAGAGTATACAAGCTGACGGACCCCGATTTTAGATGACAGGTACACACAAAGATATGTTGACGCCGTGCATTGTAGTAGTAAGTACCTGTACAGGCGACGGATGGCATACCGTGGTATTACTGCAACGTCGGCAAAAAACTGAGGAGTCCTGTCTGAACCCATTCTGCTACTAAATACATAGGGGCACACGGCAGCGAGGTAGTCTCAAACCCAAGTGACCTGTTACAGACGTCTCAGCTATACAAACATGTGTAAAGTCGGTGACCTCCCCTCCCTCTAGGATCCCCTGCGACCGAGGTTAGAAAAAGACATTCCTTTAAGGTCATGCTTAAGAACCATTTCAAGACGGACAGTAAAGCCTTCTGTTACACTACTCCCCAGACAACGGTACTAATTTAGCTTCCTGCCAAACGACAATCAAACATTTTCCCAATCATCTGTGAAACATCATGACGCCGCGACCTCCAAATCCTCGCTGTCCCTTAAGGCAACAGTCACGATAAGTCTCGTGCTATCTGTGACCAAAAACTGACCCAAAGCTTCACGGCCGCTGATCTCTAAGCGCTCCGTCCTCGGGGTCTGACAGAAAATATGTGTGTTTACCCGCGTCCACTCCCCTGTAAACACCTGCTCCACACACAGGTAAAACGGCTTGTGTGCTCTTCTTCACAGGCGTCTAGAAACGGCACGTGTGCAGCTGGAAACTCGAAACACCAGGAACTACACTATCTCTCACGCTTGTCAAGATAGCGGTTACGCTTGACGTCTACTCTGACAGCAGAAGTCTCGTTATAAAGGCCTTGGCCTAAAACATGCTGTGGCGGACACTTCCGCAACAACTGTGCATGATCGAAAGCAGGGACGACTAGAGACAAGTGCGTACGTTTCCGAGCTCTTGAATGAGTTACAGAATGTAAGAAAATGTGTTGTAATGTTCCCCCTGGTGCATAACGGGAACGGTAAACTTCACAGGAAGGTGACCTCGGCCGCTGGTCTGTGCAAATTTGCCCTGTCGGTGTAAATAAAAGCTACCTCGGACCGTGTTTGTAAATTGGAACGATTAGACGTTTGTAGTGCAGCGACCCAAGAAGCACCACGACAGGGGGATCCTACTCTTGCGTGCAAGGAGAGTGTTACATTAGAGGCAACATGGCTGCATTGCGTGCGCTGCTCTTCGTTTTTACCCGCTTCAGCTTCATAGTTAGCATTTCTTGCATGTGTAATGTAGGGAATCGGAGCTTACCGTAGGCGTTGCCATCCTGCGAGGTGCCCCCGATGGCGCCGTTGCTAAAAAGTTGTAAGTGGTAGCCTGTCCGACAGTACAGCTGCTTGGTCCTGTTATTGGAGCCCAGGTGCGTGTAGGTACTTGTAAAGTCTACCTGGCGTGGCGTGCGTGACCTGGGCATGGGCTCTGCTGGCTGCACGGGTAAACCACGACAAAACTCCGTCAGAAAGTGGACGACGAGGGTGCACAGCAGAAAGGCTGAAGTGGTGATTTCCATCCCTTCGCGTGAGTAGGTCTCTGTCAGACGACCCACTTGACCGCCTCCCGCCGATGAGACCCGGGGCCAACCGCGGTGAGGCGTGCAACATGCAACCGACACTGTCGGCAATTGGGGCGCCGCATTCTTTATAAGTACGTTACCCCACCCGCTACAATGTAGACTGGCTGGATAAAGGGATGGCACACACAAAAAAATCGTGGCCCAGGGCGATCTTAATTTGATTGAAATAAATGAGACAGATGATTACGACAATTGAGAAATGCCATAAATGGAGTGCCGGTACAGATCCCTCTTCTCCAAACCTCGCCCCAGAAACGATACACTCTCCAACCCCGTATCGCAACAACTATCGTCAAGTTCTTTCACCATCTTTTATCGCTTAATCTCGAAGCGTTGTCACCCTCCCAGGGCGAAAACATGCCTGTGAAAAGCGCGTCTTGCTGGCCAGGCCGAGCCGGCGCGGAGGACATGCTGTAATTAAGACCAATTACACACGCGAAGTCCTAGCCACTGAAATGAGCCGCGGTGCGATGACGGCACCACCTTATTACTAACTGCGCGTCTTTTGTCAATTGTGTGTGAGAATGAAATGATACCGGGCAGAGGTTGTTCTTCCAATTACCTCCTTTTCGCGTAACAAATTGCTGAGTAGATGTCCGTGGAACTGGGGGATGTGACACTTGTGGTTTGGTTCTCGCGGTGTGGGGAGGGCACAAATGAGAGACTGTGCTCTCCCGTCACCTGTGCGGCACTGCTATAATTGTACGGCAGGGTACAAAGTAAATGTTAATGCTTAACTCGAACATCACCTGTCTTATCTGCTGTCAATCTGGGGGTGCTATTTTTGGGGCTGGTCGTATCTTTTCTTTGAAGGGTGTCCGCCGAACACATGTGCGAGTTTGGAAGACTATCTTAGGGGCTTTTCGTGCTGGTTGGCTGGTTTTCATTAGAAGGACAAGACAGCTCGTATACAATGATATAAAAGTACGGAAAGAGGAAGGTGAGGGTTACTGGGGTTATCTCATGCAAATAAAAACTTCGAATAACTGATACTGGAAGTATGAAGAAGTAAAAGAACAGCCAATATAGCGACGCATGTAATACTAGATATTCCTATTGCCAAAATGGATAAAAAACATGGATAGTGTCCTCGACTCTTTTCATGGCGTAGTACGCACATTCCAACAGACGTTCCACGTGTGCGAGCACCTGTAAGCAGGTGTTTGACATATTTGCGGTTCGGACGGTAATCCCCAAGGAATGTGGAAGATTTGTACCGTATAGATGATATTGAATAGAATATGTGGGATGTGGACTTCCACTTGATCGAAGCTTAACTCTTAAGTATGTTGTACGACATGTGTGGGAGCGGCCACGGATCACCTAATTGGGCTATGTCGTATTAACCTTTCTGGTGGGGGATTAGGCTTCCCTCCCAGTCACTCTGACACATACAGACGTAATGATTCATAACAAATCGCGTCTTTGAGTCAGACTGCGCCCGTTTATATAATGATAAATCACAACTGTGGCGTGTGTTCATGAGTCACAAACCCCACCTTGCTCAGGTAGACTCGCACGTTTGGGACCGCAGGTTTGCCGACTCGCTCGCGCCGTGCTTTACGTTTCGCCTCGCTCATTTTCTTCCCCACACTTCAGTAGCAAAAGACTGCACGAACCGGCACGAAGGACACAATTAGAGAGGTAAAAGGCCACAGCAAAGCCTCACACGTATGGTCTCTACCTGTACACGCACAAAATGACCCCTTACGTGTTTGTCTGTCTGGTTGTTAATAGGCTAAGCGACCTCCAGAAAATCTGAAGAATTTCTGAGGTACAAAGAACGGTAAGCGGCCCACCAAAGATGCCCCCCGGCTACAATCTGGGAAAGACCCCTGCGTTAGCGGCGACAGCGATAGCACAATTTAGTAGGACAATCACTTGGATACATGCTGTATAGCCTCGAGCGTCCGAAGTGACGTTTTACTCGGTAGACACACACGCACGTTACTGGTGTGGACGCATGGTCGCTGACGTGCTGGCTTATATACGTGTGTTTGACTAATGTAGAAATTGTGCAGGATTGTTGTAAATATCAGACGACAGATCATGACAACATTTTATCCACAGCTAATCGTTCTAATCATCACATTCAGAAAAAGTTATAGATCCACTGTGTTTATTCTATGTACCCAAGCGTATTTCCAGCCGCGATCATTGTGAAGTTACAGCAATCGCAGTTTGTGTGACAAAGAAGTTGACAAATATATATCGCATGTTTTTATCAAATATCAAGTGACAATTGCAAATTAGAAATACACTATATTGGCAATTCACTGTCAATCGACATTTTGCGAAATGCAGTTGAGGAATACGAATAAGACAAGTAGTAGTACTGTGCTCGATCTCCGTTGCCTTGCGATGTTAAATCGCTAGGTGGAGAACATACATAGCTTCCTGTGGGTAAAAGAACGATGATGCAATCATATACTACTGATGGACGAAAACGGGTCCTACAATTTGTGTCATCGTTACCACTGGAAATTGCAATCCTATTGGTTAATACATCAACACATGTAAACCGAATCTACAAGCAGTAACATGTAGTTACATTTGTGCACATGTAGTTACATTTGTGCAGTTTCATTTGTGCACAAGACCGAAGTGTGCCTTTATTGTTTCTGACGCTTGACTTTATAAGAAAATTTTCTATTGTATCATCTATCCGTCCCTTCAAATTTGGTTCAATTTGGTTCAGCTTTTAAGCCAGGCAGAAAGTCCTGTTAACAATGGTAGGGCGGATGCCTCAGTCCCGAGTCTACGCAAAACGTACTTCTAATCTCGAGGAAGGTCTCTTCCTCATGATAAACATAGCAAGCTTCGAAAGGACTTTTCTGACAGCTATCTTGATGAGCTTTGCTGAAGATAGAATGTTTTCTGATTGCCACAGCTCTCACTGGGAGTAATGCATGATCATACATCGATCAGAACACGGTATTGGACAATAATAGATCCTTATTAGAAAGAAAGCGACGGTTTTAAAGTAGCACCAGAAGCCTGGTTTGGAAGCTACTGGTACTTAGTATCCTGAATCAACCTCTTGATAAATAGAGCAAAGTGCTAAGCGTGTCTGTATCTGACGGCAGTCGCCCAAGTCCTGCCGAACACCCGGTCTGAGACAGGTCGGAAATTCGGTAGCTCCTGAACGAATTGCCACCATGCGGTGAGTAGGAATGAGATGCTGTGAGATGCTGTTCAAGACGTCAGTTTTAGACGAATTTTGTCGGTTGTGAAGTTTTTCGGGATATTTGGTCAATTTAGAACCATGGTTGGTGGCGGGAAAAGTGGCGGGGACTTTAGACAGAAGGTCGGCACGGTCTGCCTCTGAGTGAGACTGAGAAAAAGCTGATTTAAGAAGTTAGGTTGTTGTATTTTGCCCATGTCATAAAGTATCTTTAATGGATTATACTATTTCTTCTCTTCTGCATGCCTTCTCCTAATGACTGCATCAGTATCAGTTAGTGTCTTATTACGAGTATACATAAAATTAGCCAGAGCTCGAAAAACGTGCTCAAGTGGAATCTCTCCCGCGATCTTTCTCTCTGCGCGACCAAAAACTCAAATATCAGCAACTTTTGGGCGACCAAAGATTTCACGGATCACTCAAGGACGTACGGAAATAAAGAATGATTTTTTTGTTTTGTTTTGTTTTGTTTCTTTTCTTTGTTTCCTTTTTTATTCATATATCAAAACAACATACACACAATACAATGAACAACATGCTGATTGTTAACGTTGGATCGCCGTCCTCGGCGCTGTCACGGCGACGGTATGAGCCGATTCAAAACAGTGGCCGAGGTGACGGCGCTCATGGCACTCCCATGGCGCTCTCATGGCGCTCCCATGGCGACCTTTGGCGATCTCTCGGTGCTCTCTCCGTGCTCCGGCCAATTTCAGATCGCGAATACGTGTGAAAAGTACAAATTAAATGTACTGTATAATGAGAACCAAAAACGTCGGTGACCACACCAACAATATCCCTTTGGCCAATCTACTGAAAAGCCCAGTTCTCACGAAAATGCTACAAAATGTTTATTCTATCTGGTGCATCGTGCCGCATCTGTGACATATGATATTCGGCAAAAGAGTTGTGGAACAAAAAAAAAAAAAACGGGAGCAGAGCTTCTATTGACACTTGACCATTACTCCATTAATATTAATCACTCCGATACGATCAGAGAATCTAAAAAGTTTCAAAACATTGATTCTGTAGCTTTTCTCGCACGATGTTTAATACGTTGGGTCACGGCTATGGTGCACGCTTATGTTCCGCTGTTCTGTATTTGACGTGCTACAAGGCTTTGCAAAGGCTGAGCAGAATGTTACTGTAAGAAAGCCCCCTTTGGTCACCTTTTTGGACACGTCTAAATACGTGACAAGATAAACGGCACATTTAGATGTCAAATCTTTTGTCAATGGGCGCCTGCAGATATCTGAGAGAGCGCCAGAGGGAGCATGCGAACAAGTTTATCGGCACGGTTAACAGCTTGCTTGAGTGCCCTACGTATCTTGTTCGACTGGTCTGCCATTAGCACTGAAAATACTTGGTACTGCAGCGCAAATTCCGGTTTTGATATCTCGCGATCTGGACATGCTGAGGTCATGAATTTTGGATGGTAGGTAGCTCTTGTGCTTGGAAAGAAGTCTAATTTGCATAATAAATGGCAAATTGGTACAGTTTTATGGTGGTAACTGCTGGGAATTTAATACTTGGCATAATTGGAAGTTCAGTGAAGGTGAACATCACTTAACATAATTTATTCAAATCAGGACCTCATTTGCACAATTTATGAGGAAACGCTGTCATTGGGTGGAGAATATGATCCCCTGATATAATATATGCAAATGGACTCTTATAATTTGCATAATAGCAGTGAAAAATAAGTCAGTCTGTCACGGATAACATGATTTGGCAAAGGTATGTCAGAGGTCGTGCTTGCATATAGCCAACAATATCATACGTTGTCCATGCCAAATGATAAGGATTTCACCAGTGTGTTGCATGTTAGGGGCTATGTACATGATTTGTATAAAAAATTTGCTAATGAGCAGGATTGTAAATGTAAGCCATTTACAGGTGGTCATCACCATGCATAAGATTTACGAAAGATATCTGTCGTCTGACAGACAACGTGAAAACCGGCCCATGTGACCTGTTGTCGTACTTGAATTTATGCCTTCTGCCAAGCTACTGAAGTAAGGACGATTTTTGATGATCGCTGTCAATGTGTTTGACTGGTGAGAACTTGAAACTCCTATCGTAAAACTATGAAGTTAAACTAGACTACTGGACTATTATAACCTTAAGAACACTTAGTAACACATAGTAACGCTTAGTAACACTATGAGGTTAAACTAGACTACTAGACTATTATAACCTTATTCTACGTATAACATTCGACAGGAAACGTGGCACCGGCCACGGAACTAAAACGTTGTGCGTTTACACAGAGGTCAGCGAGCGATTGGGTAGTCTACAATTTTTATCACTACAATTGGAGTAATGAGTCCGAACACAGAGTCTTATGATGGCATCGTGAATGACCGGCTGCGAGGGCGGGTGGTGGTTGCTCGCGTTCTCTCCTCTGATCGGGCGGAAGTGACGTCAGAGTCGCGGCGGAAGACTATGTCCTAATTCTCCGTGATTAGGCCTTTTGGCCCTATCACACCATGACGGAGAACCCATATTCTAACACAGGTCGAATGAAGGACTAGCAAATAATTTAGTTAATTAAAGTACATCCGTGCGTAGGGCAGCATTCTTGGCTACGCGCAAGTAGTCTATGCACGGTTGAAACTTTGTACAGTAATAATAACTTAATTGAACAACAACTGCATTTCATACAGGAGGGATATATTGGATTTTAATTATAAAAAAAAACTAAACTACTTCATCAGACACTAACTAGTATGGTCGGGGCTATACCCTTGTAGTCTTTGGTAGAATCTACAAGATTTCGGCATTATTTCCTCCATGAAAAATGGAGGTATTGTTTTGGCGTGTCTGTCTGTCTGTGTGTGTGTCTGTCGGTGTGTCTGTCTGTCTGTCTGTCTGTGTGTGTTTCCGCAACTTTGTGGTCATAACTTCAGAACGCCTTTATGGATTGTAATGATATTTGGTATGTTGGTAAGTCTTAGGAAGACGAAGGTCAAGGTCAAAAATGGGCCTCCTGGTGGATGACCTTGGTACTGCAGCAGAACTTCCGGTTTTTGTATCTTTTGTCCTGAACATGCTATGGTCTTAATGTTTTGGTGACAGATAGCTTTTCCTGTCAGGAGTTTGAGTGGTGTGAGTTTGGTCCCCCTAGCCTAGAAGCTTGTTCTGGAACTGCAGGGCACTTTCTGGCGAAATGTTTAAAAGCCAATAAGTCCAGATAGGAACAACATATTTTCATCATTTTTGGTAGCTAGGTAGCTGAGAGAGAGATGTACACGATTAAATTAAATTATGCAAATGAGGAGCTAATTTGCATAATTAATGAGGAAATTCTCTAATTACAGTGTTTTACATTATAGTACTTTCATACATGTAATATATGTAATCTATGGCAGATAGAACGTCAACAGCTACCAATTATGCAAATGATGACCAAATTTGCATAATTATTGCGAAAATTATATGATTTCTTAATGGTAAATGATGTCAATTCAATACCTTGTGATATGTGTAGGTTACTTAAATGTTAACAACACTATGCATATATTATGTTAATATAGATTTAATTTTTAGTGTGACAGGCTGAATAAAAGTTCTAAACGGGAACTATGCGGCTCCAGATGTCTTACTGAGGGACGACTGCGTGTGCAAGATGTCGGTAGCTTGAGGAATGAATCCCCTCTACTATATATAGATTTAATTTTCATAATTAATTAGGAAGTTCAAATGAGGATGTTTAAATGAAATATTGCCAAAGGATAGGAGTTTGACACGCAAAATATTATAAGTTGAGTTTAGAACACCATAAATTAAACTACATTATATCAATTGCCACCTTATTTCCATATTCAATGAAACAAAACATTTACATAAACTCTACATATTTCATGGAGGTATGAAATCTCAGAATTCTTGTTCTAAATATGTACTGACCAATAATCATATATATTTCATAATGATGATGGTGTTTTATAGGGCAGTTATCAATAACAGAGCATAATTGATAAAATCTAATTGTAGATAGTCTTCAATCAGATTTTGGAAGGAAAAGAACAAGTCATGATCAGAGGCAAAAGAATTATAAAAGAAGTTTTTGTCCGGAGTTACTTGGTCTATCTGGAATTAATACATGCGGATCGCCCTTCCATGCCTAGCACCTGGCACGATGTTATGCTGTGCGATGAGGGGATAAGAAGAATTCAGCAGTACAGTAGATAGATACAGTACCTTCAATCTAACTTACGATGTCATTCTGTCTTTCAGCTTCAGGGTATTCATCGCCCTCCTCCTTTGTCTCCCCCTTGTGCTCCACGTGGCTCCTGTCGGTGGAAGGAAAGTTAGAAGTACGTCTTTAAGATTCTTAGTTAAATACGAGAATATGACAAACTATCTGCGATGGTGAAAGTAATGGTGAAGGTTTTCTCAATGCACCATTGTTTAAAACACCACCACATGTCTGATTTTCGGTGAATATTCCATGCTTTATTTTCATGTATTTTGATGTCTTTTTATACTAGAGACATATTCAATTCACGTGTCTACCTTGCAGAAAGGTGCAAGCCTTTGACGTTCCCAGACACGGTAAGAAGTTGTGACCAGGAGCCAAACGCAGAAGGGTGGTACCGAGATGGAACCGTGTGCAACTTTGCCTGCAGGTTGGGATGTGTGAAGGACACAGGGGGCACAAGGAGGGTGTGCAAGGTCAAGGGCAGGTCAAAATGGTGGACTGGAGGGCGCGGACTGAAGTGTCGTTGTGAGTGGCAAACATTCAAATATAGATCTCTAGAAAAATATAAGCGTACACAATTCATAGTCATGTACGTAGTTCATCATTATTACACAAAATGTATACTTTCTTTATATTACACTCCATACCGCAGGTAAGACTGAAATACATTTTCCTCATGTTTCTTCTTCTTCTCCTCTTGCCATTTCGTTGAATGGATACTAACTAACCTCGGCTTATACATGGTGGATGCCCCCGAAAGTTTTTGTTAATTTTTTTTTGTACAGGCCTTTACAATTGTGTGGTCAGTTTCAAACAAAAGATTGTATATTTTGGGAACAATTTTGTTTTGTGTGTTTTGCTGTCTTAAATAAATCACGCTGTCTTACATTCCAATAATGAAATTAGGAGTCACACAAATCCAATTTTGTTCGCTCAGTTACAGTCATCAACGGTCGCTCAACGATCACCGTCTAGTGAAAAGAGACCTTGAAGAATATGATTTGATGTCGATTATACTATTATTAGGGGGAAGTTATAAAGGGGGAAGTTTATCAAACATTTATCATATGTCCAGGCAGCCCATGTGTCGGTGCACCCAGCCACCCCGAAGGATACACCAGTGATTGCGGTGCGGGCACCTACCCAGCCGGCCACACATGTGTCTTCACCTGCCCGGCCGGGTATGTCAGGGCGTCCGGTAACGAGAGGAAAATCTGCGTGAACAGCCACTGGAGGGGAGAAGATCTAGTGTGTGAAGGTACCTCCTTTAAGTCGTGTTGTTACCATGGTTAATGAATGTGGCTTAAAAAGAAACAAACAGTAATGAATTAAAGGCCAGAAGAGTGAAACGTACAACTTAATGCATTTATACGCGTGGTCCGTGACCCAAAATATCATTACATTTAACATTGATGACCTAGTTCGCACGATATCGATGTACAACTGAAATATAAGTCAACTTACAAATGATAATTTATTAAATTCCCATCATTTACCTTTGAGATACTGCTTTAAGATTTTCTCAATAAGTTTGCAAATTAAGTTACTGAGTAGCAAACTCTATAACCATGCATTGCCTCCTCTACCCAAATTGCATATGTTACGAGTATCAAAGTCTCTTTTCTACATTCTTTATCATTTCTTAACAAATGATCTACATGTAGGCCTGATAATGTTCATCTTAACCTAAATGTATCCCGACGGTCAGACTATGAAATTTGGACTATATACTACTAAATTAATATACAATGTGTAAAACTCTCACGACCAGATTATGACGAATATAGTGGGTTCTCATTGATTATGGTTATTCGAAATTTGCACTGGAGGTATAATAATAATAATGATGATAGAGATCATGGTGAAACGGGCAGGTTTTTCCATCATAGCTGTCTTACCGTACAGCGACGTTCTAGAAGGAGTTATTCAGATTTAAAAGAAATATTAATATTGTTGTCATGGTGGAGAAGAAGATGCAGCTAAACACCATCTGCCATGATTGCTGCTGAACCCACCAGCGAGTCATTCTACAGTATGACTATCAAATAAACCGACACACCAGGTGTATTTTTGTCTGAATTAATGTTTCGCAGATGTTTTTTGTATGAATAAATTGATTTTTAACTTTTTTTTTGTTTTCTGCCGCAGCGACAACAACAACCCAGGCAACGACAACCGGTGAGTGAAAGACGCTCCCTTTAATTCTGACCATGTCCCCAAACACAAAGCAACTGGTGGTTCTACATCATGGCATTGCATAAAATATATGGTTCTAAACCGATACATCAGATGTATTTTTGTCCAAATTAATCAATAACTTGTTTTTACAGGAGCGACAACCACAACCGGGGAAACGACAATGGGTAAGTATTAAGAAAATCTTCCTTTTCGGCATGTCCCTTAACAAGAAAGGAATAGGCGATTTTACAGTTTAACAGTGCATCAACTGTACGGTTTTAAACCGATTGTGTGAATTATATAAATATTTGTCAGATATTTGTTTATATGAGTAAATCAATAACATCTTTGGTCCTCTACAGGGGCGACCACCACAACCGAGGAAACGACAACCGGTAAGTATTTAAAAAAAGCTTCCCTTTGGGCATGCGCCAAACCACAGAGGGATGGGTGATACAATACGACAGTACATCAAATATATGGTTTTAAACCAATTGTATGAATTGACATTTGTCAGATATTTGTTCTATGTATGAATAAATCAATAACTTTTTTGGTCCTCTACAGGGGCGACAACCACAACCCAGGCAACGACAACCGGTAAGTAAAGGGAGCTATCTTCTAGCCATGTCCCCAACACAGACCAATGGACGGTTTCTTATTACCATTAAGTACGTTTGAACTTGATATATGCTCTATGTATGAATAAATGAATAACTTTTTTGGTCCTCTACAGGGGTGACAACCACAACCCAGGCAACGACAACCGGTAAGTAAAGGGAGCTATCTTTTAGCCATGTCCCCAACACAGACCAATGGACGGTTTCTTCTTACCATTAAGTACGTTTGAACTTGATATTTGCTCTATGTATGAATAAATCAATAACTTTTTTGGTCCTCTACAGGGGCGACAACCACAACCCAGGCAACGACAACCGGTAAGTAAAGGGAGCTATCTTCTGGCCATGTCCCCAACACGGACCAATGGACGGTTTCTTATTACCATTAAGTACGTTTGAACTTGATATTTGCTCTATGTATGAATAAATCAACAACTTTTTTGGTCCTCTACAGGGGCGACAACCACAACCCAGGCAACGAAAACCGGTAAGTAAAGGGAGCTATCTTCTGGCCATGTCCCCAACACAGACCAATGGACGGTTTCTTATTACCATTAAGTACGTTTGAACTTGATATTTGCTGTATGTATGAATAAATCAATAACTTTTTTGGTCCTCTACAGGGGTGACAACCACAACCCAGGCAACGACAACCGGTAAGTAAAGGGAGCTATCTTCTGGCCATGTCCCCAACACAGACCAATGGACGATTCCTTCTACGTTTGAACTTGATTAGCACTGAGGGCGGTATTTGATATAATTAAGGTGGCCAAAGCAGGCCCATTGCAAAGGACATAGAGTGACAACGTATGAAGGTAGAATTAGACACCATCTATCGTCACTTCTGGACCCGCCTACTGTGCAGCGACACAATATTAAACTAATCCATTATTGTTTGATACGAGAATGAAAGGACAGCACACTTTAAAAATACAGCTGTATATATGCTTTTTTTATGTTATCCTTTTTTGGGTATTCTATGAAGGAGAAATTCACTGAATTGTCTGAATTAATCAATAAGGTTTTTGTATACAGGAGCAACAACCACAACCCAGGCAACGACAACCGGTAAGTGAAAGACGCTCCCTTCTGTCCATGTCCCCACACACAGAGCAATTGGTGATTCTACTGCATGACATTGCATAAAATACTACAGTATATGCTTCTAAACCGATGCATCAGATGTATTTTGTCCAAATTAATCAATAACTTGTTTTCCACAGGAGCTACAACCACAACCGAGGAAACGACAATGGGTAAGAAAAGCTTCCTTTTCGGCATGTCCCTTAACGAGAAAGGAATAGGCGATTTTACAGTTTAACAGTGCATCAACTGTACGGTTTTAAACCAATTGTATGAATTAATATTTGTCATATATTTGTTTCTATGAATAAATCAAAAACATCTTTGGTCCTCTACAGGGGCGACAACCACAACCGAGGAAACGACAACCGGTAAGTATTAAAAAAAAGCTTCCCTTTGGGCATGCGCCAAACCACAGAGGGATGGGTGATACAATACGACAGTACATCAAATATATGGTTTTAAACCAATTATTCCAAACTTTTTTGGTCCTCTACAGGGGCGACAACCACAACCCAGGCAACGACAACCGGTAAGTAAAGGGAGCTATCTTCTGGCAATGTCCCCAACACAGACCAATGGACGATTCCTTCTACGTTTGAACTTGATTAGCACTGAGGGCGGTATTTGATATAATTAAGGTGGCCAAAGCAGGCCCATTGCAAAGGACATAGAGTGACAACGTATGAAGGTAGAATTAGACACCATCTATCGTCACTTCTGGACCCGCCTACTGTGCAGCGACACAATATTAAACCAATCCATTATTGTTTGATACGAGAATGAAAGGACAGCACACTTTAAAAATACAGCTGTATATATGTTTTTTTTTTATGTTATCCTTTTTTGGGTATTCTATGAAGGAGAAATTCACTGAATTGTCTGAATTAATCAATAAAGTTTTTGTATACAGGAGCCAACAAACCACAACCCCAGGCAACGACAACCGGTAAGTGAAAGACGCTCCCTTCTGTCCATGTCCCCAAACACAGAGCAATTGGTGATTCTACTGCATGACATTGCATAAAATACTACAGTATATGCTTCTAAACCGATGCATCAGATGTATTTTGTCCAAATTAATCAATAACTTGTTTTCCACAGGAGCTACAACCACAACCGAGGAAACGACAATGGGTAAGAAAAGCTTCCTTTTCGGCATGTCCCTTAACGAGAAAGGAATAGGCGATTTTACACTTTAACAGTGCATCAACTGTACGGTTTTAAACCAATTGTATGAATTAATATTTGTCATATATTTGTTTCTATGAATAAATCAATAACATCTTTGGTCCTCTGCAGGGGCGACAACCACAACCGAGGAAACGACAACCGGTAAGTATTAAAAAAAAGCTTCCCTTTGGGCATGCGCCAAACCACAGAGGGATGGGTGATACAATACGACAGTACATCAAATATATGGTTTTAAACCAATTATTCCAAACTTTTTTGGTCCTCTACAGGGGCGACAACCACAACTCAGGCAACGACAACCGGTAAGTAACCGCTATCTTCTGGCCATGTCCCCAAACACAGACCAATGGACGATTTCTTCTTACCATTAAGTACGTTTGAACTTGGTTGGCACCGAGGGCGATATTTGATATAATTCAGGTGGCCAAAGCAGCTAGATTAAGGTCCGTTGCCAAGGACAACGTCTGAAGGTAGAATTAGACACCATCTATTGTCACTTCTGGATCCGCCTACTGTGCAGCGACACAAGATTAAACAAGAGTTCCACGATCTCATACCTTCGCCAAGTGATGTTAATCCTTGCGGTTGACGAATTATACAATTTAATCATCGATTTTGTAAATAAAAGCCTCATTTACATGGATTATATCAGTTGATCATATTCAATCTCCACGCAATGACAGCCTTATTTTAACAAAAAGGCTATTATAGCACTTCTTCATAAATCATGCAAATGAGGTTATGATTTGAATAAGTTATGTTAATTGATGTTCAGCTTCACTTAACTTCCAAATGTGGCAAGTATGAAATTCCCAACAGTTACAACTATGAAATTACAAAAAAATTGCCAATAATTATGCAAATTAGGTCCTCATTTACATAATCTATATCTTCAGATGTTTTATCTCGTTCTCAAGTAGATGTCACAAGTTTTTCATAGTTCTATTATTGAACATAGCAGATTAATAGAATTCCCTCATTAATTATGCAAATTAGCTCCTGATTTGCATAATTGTCATTTGATTATGTCAAGCATCACTTCAACTACCTACATTCTAAAGATCATGACAATCCGTCAACCGGTTCTTGAGTTACCATCCTTCGAAATTTTTTTTCAACAAATGCTCCTGCAGTTCCAGAACAAGCAGCTAGGGGACCCAAACGTCACTTCTTCCCTACCCCAAGAGCTATCTACCAACCAAAATTCGTGACCCTAGCATGTCCAGATCACGAGATATCAAAACCGGAAGTTCTGCTGCAGTACCTAGGAAAGCCGCCAGGGGCCCCAAAATCTAATCATTTTTAGGTCTCATGAAGTCCTACCCACCTACCAAGTTTCATTTCAATCCATTCACTGCTTCTTGAGTTATCTTGCTAAACCACAAACACACAAACGCTACTGAAAACATAACCTTCTTGGCGAGGGTAACTAGTCCATTATTGTTTGATACAAACCTAAAAGAACTGGACGTTTTGAAAATACAGCTGTATATCATTTTGATCTTTATCATTTTTTGGATATTCTATGGAGGAGAAATCCACTGAATTGTCTGAATTATTGAATAATTTGTTTATAGGGGCGACAACAACAATCCAGGCAACGACAACCGGTGAGTAAAAGAAGCTTCCTTCCGTCCATGTCCCCAAACACAGAGCAATTGGTGATTCTACAGCATGACATTGCATAAAATATATGGTTCTAAACCGATGCATCAGATGTATTTTTGTCTAAATTAATCTATAACTTGTTTTCTACAGGAGCGGCAACCACAACCGAGGAAATGACAACTGGTAAGTAAAAAAGCTTACTTTCGGACATGTCCCTTAAAGGGAAAGGAATAAGCGATTTTATAGTTTAACAGTGCATCAACTGTACGGTTTTAAACCGATCATGTCCCCAACACAGACCAATGGACGATTCCTTCTTACCATTAAGTACCATTGGACTTGATTGGCACCGAGGGGGTATTTGATACTCTCTACTTCAGGTGGCCAAAGCAGCTAGACTAAGGCCCATTGCCAAGGACATAGAGTGGCAACGCATGAAGGTACAGCTAGACACCATCTATTGTCACCTCTGAACCCACCCACTGTGCTGGGACACAATATTAACCTAGTCCATTATTGTTTTTTTCCATGACATGTTTAGTGCTTTCGTAAATTTATGCATGATGATGACCACCTGTAAATGGCTTTCATTTACAATCCTGCTCATTAGCAAAATTTTATACAAATTATTTGCATAGCTCCTACCTAGTAACATGCAACACACTGGTGAAATGCTTTATCATTTGGCATGGACAACGTATGATATTGTTGGTTATATGTAAGCACGACGTCGACCTCTGACATACCTGTACCAAATCTTGTTAGCTGTCCAAATTTTTTAAAGCAATTATGCAAATTATAAGCTTCTATTTGCATATATTATATCAAGTGATCATATTCTCCATCCAATGATCAATCAATTATCTTTAAAAATAAGGCGTTTCCCCATAAATTATGCAAATAGGGTCCTGATTTGAATAAATCATGTTTAGTGATGTTCATCTTCACTGAACTTCCAAGTATGGCAAGTATTAAATCCCAGCAGTTACCACCATAAAATTGTACCAATTTCCCATTTATTATGCAAATTAGGTCTTCATTCACATAATCAATATCTGCCAATGATATTGTCGTTCTTCAAAATGTCACGTTTTTCATAGCCCTAATATGGAATACAGCAGATTTATAGAACTTCCCCATTAATTATGAAAATTAGATCCTGATTTGCATGATTGTAATTGCGATAGATTATACCTATATCACAATATGACGAGTGAATTTATGAGTTATTTGACATTACTGCTAATATTAATGTAGTTCAACTTTTGAGTTGTTTTTGCAAACGGGGTGTAAAAAGACATTGTTTTGCGAATGTCTCACTTGTAGGTCAAGGAGAGACGACAGGGTGTTTTGCGGGGGCCAGATTTGACAATCATATTTTCCTCATGCAGACATTAACGAGTGTGAGACCAACAGTGTCATATGACGTCATATCGTATGTGTCATTTATGGTTCATTGTTTTTAAAGGTATCCGTAAGACGCCCCAAGTTTTCCTTCTGTTAACGCATGTAATATTCAGATGTAGGGCTAATCTCTCCAAAAATGTCACGCAATACCCATGACTGCTAAATTTAAATGCCATACAAGCTTTTAGGAACACTGAAATCTGCTGATACGACTGTGTTATTTTTTCAGCGATTTGATTTATTACTCAGAATTATACATTAAAATTACTTCTGTCAGTATTTTAGTAGGTAAATTGCACTCCAAGCATCTCGACAGCATCATTTATTTATCATAATCCACAGGGAGCCTATAAGAATAAGGATTAATTGAAGTATCAAAATCAAGACCTTGGTCAAATATTACCTTACAAACAGGTTCATCACGCAATGAATGTAATCAGATCGAAGTTTGCCTTCAACCCTCCGTTATTTTGTCATCCTGTAGTTCAGAGATTGACGTGGTCTAATCACGTGGTATTATGTCTTAAAAACAGCGGATCTGCCGTGCTATTGGCAAGAAAACCGCGATATCTTCGGCAACTGCTTCCCTGTCGACTGTGACAGGGGCATCTACAATCAGAGTGACCAGTGTGGAGACGGGGTATGCTGCGCGACGGGCGACAAGATACAATGCTGTGATGGTGAGTTTTTGTTCCCAGTACAATACGATAATATTTACAACACACGTTTGTGAATTGGAACAATAATGACGAAAAAACTCTATTGTACATTCATGCATCAGAAGTAGACGTTATTGATAAAAAATTCCAAAGTTTGCATGTAATCCTTTTCATAATTCATTAGTCAAGCAACTGGACAGGCACATGTACAGCAACTGGATATGATTTTGAAAATGGTCAGACGTTTCAGGTAGCATTCAATACCTTTCGTCAGTCACTCTGGAGAAAAATCCAATTCAACTGGTGTATGAGAAATTGATGACCTCTTTATGTACATGAATGAGGCACAATCCTCAGTCTCTCCAAACATTTTCTTTTGCAAACGCGATAAAAAAGATATGGTTTTGCGCAGCAGGGTCTCAGTATAGACCTAGCAGAGAGGAAAGGGCCAGATTTTGACAATCATATTTTTCCTCATGCAGACATTAACGAGTGTGAGACCAACAATGGTGGCTGTGAGCACAACTGTACCAACACCATCGGAAGTTTCGAGTGCTCCTGTATGGATAATTTCCTCCTAGCCAATGACGACCTGGCCTGTAACGGTAAGAGTTTTATCTCAATCAGTATTGTTATTATTGTCCCAAAATGTAGGAAATTTTTACTGCTGAATGTACGTCGTGTATTGAACGAAGCATGTGTGATACCCCTATACATCTGTGAGGTCCTACGAAATATTCTGGCAAAATACACAGAAGGTCATAATAAAAGAAAAAAATTCATAATAGAAAAAAATTACACAAGCGTCATATGACGTGCGAGTACACGTACATATGTGTCATTTACCGTGCTCATTGTTTTAAAGGTGTCCGTAAGAAGCCCAAAGTTTTCCTTTTGTTCGGGTATGCAATGTTCTGATGTCGGGCTGATCCCATAAAATGTCACGCAATACCCATGATTGCCAAATTTAAATGCCATACAAACCTATTAGGAACACTGACATCTGCTGATACGATTGTGTTATTTTTGTCTTCATCGATTTGATTTATTACTCAGACTTAAACATCAGAAATGAGGAAGCTGTCCACTATAATAAATGAAGATACTTGTTAGGGTTCTAGTCGGAAAATATATTCAAAGCATCCTGTTAGCATCATTAATTGATTACAATCCAACGGGAGCCTAAGAATAAGGATTAATTGAAGTATCAAAATCAAGACCTTGGTGCACGCAGTTTCAGTATTGTCAGATCGAAGTTGCCTTGAACTCAAACTTCTCATGTCACCATGTCATCTTTGGGTGCAGCTCTTATTTTATGATGCGAAATGAGAAATAAATGGATGTGGTCTCAATGAATGGTATAACATTGCAGCCGCGGTGTGTCATTGGGAAGGCGGCCCCGGTTTCTTGGGCGTCTGCATCACTGGCGACTGCGTTACTGGCACCTTCGTCCGGAGTGACCGCTGTGGAGACGGGGACTGTTGCTCTGTAGGCGAATATATATATTGCTGTGAAGGTGAGTATACAGTATAAAATTCACATAAAGGTGGCACAAAAATGGTTTGAAAAATACAATGAAAGTATGTTAGATTGTCAAGTGGCAGATACAGAACGAGACAGAGATATTGGTGACGTTATGAATGAAAGTTTCTAATGATGCTTTATAAAAATTGGTTAATAACGTTTTGTTTTCTACAGTGATTTCAATGGAGACAACCACATCCCCGCCGACACCAGGTAGGTAGAGTTAGCTTCTGTCAGGCCATGAAACGTACTATTCTTATAAACTGGCATGCGTAATGTATATATATATATATATATATATATATAATATATATATACCCAAAATGTGACATATAGACCCTCAAAACAAATATTTTTAGTACGTTATTTTGACACGAAATGAAGGGACCTTTTATTCCCCAGTACGCTCCAGGTGGGAGTTTGTGGACATGAATCTAAATCTAAAAATAACGTGATTCATTTTATCTTCCAAGCCACCGTACTTTGGTACATAGACTATAGTTTGATTTTCTCTTGCTTTTCTTCTCATTAAAACAGAACTCCGTAATAACCTAAAAGTGCTATCGGTGACCTTATGAAGGAAACAAAGTTTCTAATGATACTAATGTTTCTAATGCTACTTTTCAGGTTGAGTAACAACCAATACATTTACGAGGGGTGATACAAAAGTTCTCGGCCTCACCTAGAAAATAAAGGTCAAACTCCTATTCTTTAATATAGCTGTATACTATGACGTCTTACATCACTGCACACAAAAATTCAAATTTTTATATTCATTAATTAGCACGTGACGCACCGTGAAAATGGGGTGGGTGAGGGCAAAATCACAAAATGGCCGCAACAGAAGCGTGTGCTGTGATCAAGTGTATCGATAAAAAGGGATGTCTCCTAAGGAAATCCATGAAGACATGGTCAAGACACTTGGTGATGACTCCCCTTCTTATTAAAATATAAAGAAGTGGGTTGCTAGCTACTAGCGAGGTAAGGAGAGCACAAAAGATGAACATAGGTCAGGATGCCACAAATCAGCACCACGGACAATCCAGTTGAGGGCACCCATCACATGGTAGTAAATGACAGGTGTGAGACTGCCCAACATGTAGCAGGTTCTTTGGCCTGTGTTATGACTCAGTTCACAATGTTTTGTCGAACATCCTGGGGATGAAAAAAATGTTTGCATGGTGGGTGCCTCGAATGTTTTTTGAACATCAGAAGTTAAACAGGCGGGACATTTCAAGGAACGAATTCAGTCCAATGCATGCAATTTCCTCAAAACATTTGTAACCCAAGATGAGCTGGGTTCACCACTTTCACCCCGAATCAAAACAGCGGAGCAAACAATGGATGAAAATTTTTTCCCGGCCACCCAAGAACTTTTAGCGACTTTCGTCCGTTGACAGGGTTTTTGCCTCTGTTTTCTGGGACAGCAAGGAAGCAATCATGATTGACTACCTGCGAAGGGGTTAAAGCATCAATGGGGAGTACTATTCAACAGAATTACGACAGTTGAGGACAACGATCAAAGAGAAAAGGAGAGGAAAGCTCCTAGCTGGCCTGGTGGGTGCATGTGTGCATGGGTGCACCTGTCCACACGGCACAGGGGTCAGTGGCAGCAGCAAACGAATTTGGGTTTGCAGTCTAACCCCACCCTTCCAATTCACCTGACCTAGCACCCTTGGACTTCTACCTGTTTCCTAAACTCAATTTCTACTTACGTAGTCAACGTTTTGATGGTAATGATGACGTCATCTATGCGGTATAGGCCAATCTGGGGGGTCCAGATGCAACCTTCTTCCACAAGGGGAAAATAAAGCTGGAACATCACTGGACCAAGTGCATTGCAGTTAGAGAGGACTATATTAACAAATAGTGTAAGAAAAATTTTACTGCCATGACGTTTTATAGGTCGGGCCGAGAACTTTTGGATCACCCCTCGTATTTAAGCAACTAAATACATTCAAATGAGAGCATCCAAGAATTTAGAACGTTTAGCTTGTAGATACCTTATCCAAGTGTTTTGGTTACAAAGAATATAGCCATGTTACAAGCAATATATTTCTGATGACAACCAGGAAAACGAATTGAAGGGGTCTAAGCCTGTGGTGCAATATGTGCTTGTAGAATGCATGTGCTATTCCAGGAGAGTGCAATGGGGAATGGCGAAGCTTCGTTTTGCTACCCTGGCGACTGCGTTATGGCAAATCATTTATCTACCTTGAAGTTTAGTCGATTATGAAAATATGAGATGGTAGCGAATTGAGAGACGTTATATCCAACGGCAGATTAAAAGTCGCACAGATTTGTGAATTTTCTGCTTGACTTTCTATTGGACTCTTCACTTTCAACTTGACTTTCTATTGGACTCTTCACTTTCAAGTGTATTTGGCTCGCAATATTGTAGTATGGCTGTGACAAATTCAAATCGAATCTGGCTTTCTCTATTACTTAGCTGACAGTCTCAATTTTGTTATGCAGACATTACAGATTCAACAATGGCGGCTGTCAGCAGATTTGTACCAACATTGTTGGGATTTGCGTGTGCCCCTGTAGGGACAGTTTTCTTATTCCCTTACAATGTAGTCACATAGTACCTAACATTGCCAAAGGTTGAATGTAACTACATGTATTTCAAATGAAAGACATGGCACACACGTCCTTTAGGGACACAGATATATGCTGATAAGTCTGTGTTTTTATCATCTGCTGGCGTCAGGGCACAGCGATTTGATTCATTAGTTGGACTTAAAGAGAACTAAAGCTCAACATCAAAGACAAAGTCTGATCTGACGGGAAGGTGGACCAGTAAACACAGTTTCAGGGAATGAATGTAGGCAGATCGAAGTTTGCCTCCAACCCTCCATTCTGTCATCCTCTAGTTCAGAGATTGATGTGGTCTAAACACGTGGTATTATGTCTACACACTTTGCAGTTCCGCCGTGCTATTGGCAAGAAAACCGCGATATCTTCGGCAACTGCTTCCCTGTCGACTGTGACAGGGGCATCTACAATCAGAGTGACCAGTGTGGAGACGGGGTATGCTGCGCGACGGGCGACAAGATACAATGCTGTGATGGTGAGTTTTTGTTCCCAGTACAATACGATAATATTTACAACACACGTTAGTGAATTGGAACAATAATGACGAAAAAACTCTATTGTACATTCATGCATCAGAAGTAGACGTTAAGAATTCCAAAGTTTGCATTTTGACCCATGTAATCCTTTTCATAATTTAGAGACTTGCCAGGAATAAGTGTCTCCGACAGTCATCAACAAATGACTTATTGGTGTTTTAGTCAAAACAGTGATATTATTGCTTTTTTTTGCTTTAAAATGACTTTGATTCCTTCTAGCTCTATTCATTCAAGGCCTTGTGTTTTTCTACCTCCATGGTTTATGTTCATTGGTTTATCATTTGTATCAGCAAGAGCATAACGTGTGGGACAAATTTCGATACTTGCTTACAATAACATAAATCATTCATAGTAGAGTCATTAATACAAGTTGCAACCACGTCTGCTTCATTAATCAATGTTGAATAAGTGTGAAAGCTGTTGAAACCCAGGTCACGTAAAGAAACCCATTGTCAACAATGTGACCCCTGTTACCACAAAAAACAAAAATTAGTCAGGCAACTGGACAGGCACAGCAACTGGATATGATTTTGAAAATGGTCAGATGTTTCAGGTAGCATTCAATACCTTTCGTCAGTCACTCTGGAGAAAAATCCAATTCAACTGGTGTATGAGAAATTGATGACCTCTTTATGTACATGTATAAGGTACAATCCTCAGTCTCTCCACAACTCTAAACATTTTCTTCTGCAAACGCGAAAAGATATGGTTTAGCGCAGCGAGGTCTCAGAATAGACCTAGCAGAGAGCAAAGGGCCAGATTTTGACAATCATATGTTTCCTCATGCAGACATTAACGAGTGTGAGACCAACAATGGCGGTTGTGAGCAGATCTGTACCAACACCATCGGCAGTTTCGAGTGCTCTTGCAGGGAAAATTTCGTCCTCGCCAATGACAGCTTGTCCTGTAACGGTAAGACCTTTATCTCAATCAGTATTGTTATCATTGTCCTAAAATCTGGGAAGTTTTAACTGCTGATTATGAATGTACTTCGTGCTTTGAACGAAGTGATACGCCTGTACATCTGTAAGATCCCACGAAAGATTTTGTAAAATACACAGGAGCTCATAGTAGAAGAAAAAAATCAAAATAAAAAAACGACGGAGCGTCATATGACGTGCGAGTAATTACGTGTCATTTACGGTTCATTGTTTCTAAAGAGTCTCTACGAAACCTCATGATTTCCTTCTCTTCTCGCATGTAATAGTCTTGAAGTTGTAACAAATTAAAATCATTACAGCGTGTATGGTTAGCTGACAGTCTCCATTTTGTTATGCAAACATTACCGAGTGCGCGAAGAACAATGGCGGCTGTCAGCAGATTTGTACCAACATTGTTATGATTTGCGTGTGCCCCTGCAGGAACAGTTTTCTAATTCCCTTACAATGTAGTCCCACAGCACCTAACATTGCCAAAGCTTGAATGTGACTATTTCAAATAAAAACTAGTACACACATTTTCATCAGGGAATGTAGTCAGATCGATGTTTGCCTCCAAACGGCAAACCCTCCGTTATTCTGCCATAATTAGTCGTTAAGTTAGTCTGTGTTTTTATAATTTGTTGGCGTCAGGGCACAACAATTTGATTCGTTAGTTGTACTTAAAGAGAACTAATGCTCAAATGAAATATCAACATTAAAGACAAAGTCTGATCTGACGGGAAGGTCAAATATTACCTTACAAACAGGTTCATCACGCAATGAATGTAATCAGATCGAAGTTTGCCTTCAACCCTCCGTTATTTTGTCATCCTGTAGTTCAGAGATTGACGTGGTCTAAACACGAGGTATTATGTCTTAAAAACAGCGGATCTGCCGTGCTATTGGCAAGAAAACCGCGATATCTTCGGCAACTGCTTCCCTGTCGACTGTGACAGGGGCATCTACAATCAGAGTGACCAGTGTGGAGACGGGGTATGCTGCGCGACGGGCGACAAGATACAATGCTGTGATGGTGAGTTTTTGTTCCCAGTACAATACGATAATATTTACAACACACGTTTGTGAATTGGAACAATAATGACGAAAAAACTCTATTGTACATTCATGCATCAGAAGTAGACGTTATTGATAAAAAATTCCAAAGTTTGCATGTAATCCTTTTCATAATTCATTAGTCAAGCAACTGGACAGGCACATGTACAGCAACTGGATATGATTTTGAAAATGGTCAGACGTTTCAGGTAGCATTCAATACCTTTCGTCAGTCACTCTGGAGAAAAATCCAATTCAACTGGTGTATGAGAAATTGATGACCTCTTTATGTACATGAATGAGGCACAATCCTCAGTCTCTCCAAACATTTTCTTTTGCAAACGCGATAAAAAAGATATGGTTTTGCGCAGCGGGGTCTCAGTATAGACCTAGCAGAGAGGAAAGGGCCAGATTTTGACAATCATATTTTTCCTCATGCAGACATTAACGAGTGTGAGACCAACAATGGGGGCTGTGAGCACAACTGTACCAACACCATCGGAAGTTTCGAGTGCTCCTGTATGGATAATTTCCTCCTAGCCAATGACGACCTGGCCTGTAACGGTAAGAGTTTTATCTCAATCAGTATTGTTATTATTGTCCCAAAATGTGGGAAATTTTTACTGCTGAATGTACGTCGTGTATTGAACGAAGCATGTGCGATACCCCTATACATTTGTGAGGTCCTACGAAATATTATGGCAAAATACACAGAAGGTCATAATAAAAGAAAAAAAATTCATAATAGAAAATATTACACAAGCGTGCGAGTGCGAGTACACGTACATATATGTCATTTACCGTGCTCATTGTTTTAGAGGTGTCCGTAAGAAGCCCAAAGTTTTCCTTTTGTTCGGGTATGCAATGTTCTGATGTCGGGCTAATCCCATAAAATGTCACGCAATACCCATGATTGCCAAATTTAAATGCCATACAAACCTATTAGGAACACTGACATCTGCTGATACGATTGTGTTATTTTTGTCTTCATCGATTTGATTTATAACTCAGACTTAAACAGCAGAAATGAGGAAGCTGTCCACTATAATAAATGAAGATACTTGTTAGGGTTCTAGTCGGAAAATATATTCAAAGCATCCTGTCAGCACCATTAATTGATTACAATCCAAAGGGAGCCTAAGAATAAGGATTAATTGAAGTACCAAAATCAAGACCTTGGTGCACGCAGTTTCAGTATTGTCAGATCGAAGTTGCCTTGAACTCAAACTTCTCATGTCACCATGTCATCTTTTAGTACTGCTCTTACTTTAAAGTGCGAATTGGGAAATAAATATAAATAAATGTGGTCTAAATGAATGGTATAACATTGCAGCCGCGGTGTGTCATTGGGAAGGCGGCCCCGGTTTCTTGGGCGTCTGCATTACTGGCGACTGCGTTACTGGCACCTTCATCCGGAGTGACCCCTGTGGAGACGGGGACCCCTGTTGTTCTGTAGGCGAATATATATATTGCTGTGAGGTAATATAAAAGTGGCACAAAATGGTATGGAATACTAATGAAAGTATGTTACATTGTTAAGTGGCAGATTCAGAACGAGATAAAGACAAAAACTTATCCTGACAGCAAGTGTAATTAATTGTACAAGCGGCTGGTAATTTTTAACGCCATGTCATCTTTTGAGCAACTCCTTCTAAGTTGCTTTTTAGCATACTATTTGATGTTTAAATAATAGACTAATTATTTTCAATACCCGAAGTTGAGAAGTTGTCAAGTCCTGCGGCAATGAGGAATTCTGAAAGCCTGTAAACCCGATAACTCAAGAAGGCTTGGATTGATTGTCTTGATATTTAGCAGGTGGGTTGGTCTCATTGAACCCTCAAAACGATTATATTTGGGCCCTCTAGCTGCTTGTTAAGGAACTGCATCAGAACTTACTGTTTTGATATGGTCACAAATTCTGAATGGTAGGTAGCTCTTGTGCTTGGAAAGAGGTGACATGAGTTTGGACCTCCTAGCAGCTTATTCTGGTACTGCAGGGGTGTTTGTTGAAAATATTTGAAGGATAACTCAAGAACCAGTTGACAGATCGTCGTGATGTTTGGTATAAAGGTAGCTTACGTGATGCTTGACACAATGAAATAACATGACAAAAATTATGCAAACAAGGACCAAATTTGCAAAGTAAAGCTGCTGCGTTTCATGAAATGAATATTCAAACTTGGCATGTGTAATTGAGAACAAGGTAAACATCTGCAGATATTGATTATGTGCATGAAGACCTAATTTGCATAGTTGATGAGAAAATTCTATAATTCATTAGTGGTAACTGCCGTTAGTTTCATACTTGCGGCATTTGGAGATTAAGTAAAGGTGAACATCATTAAACATTCAAACATTGCATAATTTATGAGGAAATGCTCGATTGCCCCTCTATGTTCAGATAAGATGGTCATTTGGTCGGGTATGTGATCAACACGTACATGAGGATCTTACTTGGATAATCAGCGGAAAACATTTATAATTCGCCAGTCATACAGATTACCATTTTAGGGGAGATACGAGGTCGTTGAACTCTAGGTCCAGCATACATACTACTGTGCTCATTGGGAGAAACGTTGCTGTTTCACTAACTAATTCTCAAGGGGATATCTTAAATGTGTCGCCTTAGTTTCTCTGCGCAAATGTAAGTCGCTACTGCTGCCAAACGCAAATGTTACGCAAAAATACATATATCAAGCAAACTAAGAAACATCACACATGACCCGGGGATTCAGCAATGTCAGTTCTTGCACATCTCTATTTGTAATACCATACCCAATGCTGCAATGCATATTGTTTTTCACATGGAAATGGGTTAGTAAACATAAAACTGTTTTAGTTGAAAATACACATCCCTATATGTTCAGTAAAGCAATTAATTGTAACCCGTGACACCAATTCATACTTGGGATATAATGTTACTCTTATGGCTATATATTGTATTAAAGTGGATTAGACATACTGTACAAGCATAAGTAATAGATGGGCCAGCACATGCAGTTTACTGGGACATAGTGCCACCCCGAGTGGGTGGCCAACACTACATGCCGTAAACGAGTCCAAGCCCATGGTCTGTCTGACTTATATAATTAGAACATGGCCATTTCCCCAAGGTTTTCTTTCAAACTTGTTATCAGTTTCTCTTGTTCATTTTCAGTTTTTCTGGTTCAATATCAGTTTCAATACAACATTTGTCTTTGAGAAAGCTGGTCTGTTTGTGTTTCAATCCCTTGGGTGATTAGCTTGCACAGATGGGGACTTGGTTTCAATTAAAACCAAAAAAAGTGTGGTACTATTTAATGCAATTGAGTTTATAGTACCATACTTTTTTTTCATAGTACCACACTTTTCTGCACTACCGAGATATAAACACAGAAAATAAAGGGCTCTAATTGACTGAGGGGTAGTGGCCATGTTCTAAGAAATGTTTGATGCATAGATCAATAGATCGCGTAGGCTAAGGTATATATCATATTTTGCACTTTAATCATAGTCATGTTATTCATAAACCTTTTATTATTGAAATATATAGTTCATAATAAATTTATTAATTCATAATCAATTTAACACCATAAGGAAAATATAATCATAATTAGAAAACAACAATGAGAGGTATAGTAAAGAATGTCAACACCACATGTGCACAGCGCACTGGAAAGTTACCCCATGAAAATGTACTAACCTACAAATGTACTTTCCAATGGTATTTGATTTGTTATAATTTTTGTAGATCAAAACTAGAGAAATACTTACAGAAACATAAGATATCGACGAGGAACATAAAGAACATCAAGCACACAAGTGCAGCGTTCCAATTATGATAGATGATAAAATGGAATATATACATACGTGTGTGTGTGTGTGTGTGTGTGTGTGTGTGTGTGTGTGTGTGTGTGTGTGTAGAATGTGGGAAAGTAACGGTTGTAAGGTGAAACATGATACAGTTATATAAAAATTATATATATATATAGAGAGAGAGAGATAGAGAGAGAGACAGACAGACAGACAGACAGACAGACAGACAGACAGACACAGAGAGAGAGTACCAATTGTTATTTAGCACTTGAGATATTGATTCCTTATGATATGGGTAATGGTATGTTTACGATATTTGCTTGCGCCACGCAGCTTGCTGCTTTTGGGAATTTGCTTCTATCCTTAATAAAATATAGAATTAGAATGTCTCCTGTCATTCTTTTGTACTGTTTGGTACAAGTATTTTAGCTGATATCAAGATGTTTAGAACATCTACAACCCCTTACAAGGTGTCTCTGTCTTATAGGTTACCCTATACCCTATCAAACGTGACCAAACGAACTTAAGTTACATGCCCATTCTATTCCGATCATCGACTATTGACAGTCCGGTGCATAATTTTCAGTTACATACAGCTGAATGTAATAGCGCCAAATTCGCAAGCACAAGACATATACTCATTATATAAAGTGACCCTCGAATTGAGATGGCCTTAACTCCTAATATAATGGTTTAGGCCCGGATAAGATATAAGATGACCATGTTTGACACAGTCCCGCGCTCAGCTCATTCGTTTGTAATAAGTGTTTAACACTTTAACATTCTCGAGTCATGGTATGGATGTATATATCAAAAAACAAAGAAGGGTATAAAAAGTGAAGCTCTTCATGAACGTGATGCTCCAAGTTGAAATTTTGCAAGGGATGATGGGTACACAGAGATCATGCGGGCGGTATATTTGAATCGGGAAGCCCCTCATATAACAGTAAACATCAAACTATGTCAGAATCCAACCTCTTGTACCTGACTGTAGGGTGAATACTGGTTGATTAAGATGATGATATTTTAAAGGTACATCATTTGTTGCCACAAAGGTCTATGTTTAATGCCAATTTCGAGTCTACGGGCTATCCCTATCGGCCCGCCATGTTGGTACTGACGTCATATGACATCCTGGTAACACCGATCAATAATATAGGGTTAATGACCCGCCCTGAGGTGTATACGGTGTCATAATTCATGGTCGGTTCCTATAACCACCGAATGAACGACCGAGGCCGCGGAGCGGACGAGGTCGTTTATGAGGTGGTTATAGGAACCGACCATGAATTATGACACCGTATAAACCGAAGGAAAGCGGGTCATTAACATTATTATCATATAGATATTGTCACATATGCGTGTACATCAAGCAGACACATAAGGGAAATAACTCCTGTGTAACATATAAATCTTTTAATTCTGCATTTAAGTGAATTCTCATCGCAACAAACCAATTATTTAAAGCTGAAAGTTACAGGTAGGAACTAAATTTACCGCTGAAGTTTACCGCTGAATTTCCTCAACTGTTTCTCCACCACTATTGTCCAAATCCATCTCTGCGGTTTATCAATAATTTTTTCCTTAATCTACCGCTGATTTTAATTGTATTTAGTTTTATTAAAACTAAGTTAATTTACTACTGTACATAAACAAGTCTATCAGAAAGGTCTTTAGAATTTGAAGTAGGTTAGAAGAAAACACCACCCTGTCATGTAATGGTATCGTCGGTTACGGACCCGCGGGTCCGTATATCGGATATTAATGACCTGGGTTATGGGGGAAATGGAGCCTTCTGATTGGTCGGGGTCATCTGGCTATATGATAATAGTTCATACTCTCTCCTTGGAAGCGAACACGGAGACTCCTAATTTCGCAAAATTGGACTTATTTGTGCAGATAGACACAGGGGTTACTTTTCTCCCCTTCCTCAGGACACACTTTAGATGACACTGAACCAGCGGGCAAAGTAGATGGTACCAGAAAACGCAGGGGTGAGAGATGTTTCCCGGTTAGTTGTTTACGTGTTCTCACAGCAAGACAACATTAACTTCCTGTTCCACGCATTTGTGGTTGTCGATTAGAGCAGTGAACCACCAAATACAGAGCAAACAAATGTTTCTGATTCTACTTTTTGGCGACGCCTCAGGGGGGAGCCTAATGGCACAGTATTGTGTGTAGTTTGCAAGAATTCTAGGAATTGCACAGGCATTTTTTTCCACAGGCATGGCATGTCTACAGGCATGTTGATGGCACACTTTTATGGACATATTCCTACGTAGTCCTAAATTCTTGCCCACATACCCACATGCATTTCAAGTGGAAGTTTTACATTCTTCCCACATCTCTTCCCACATGCCTTCCAAGTGGATGTCTTAGCATTCGAAGTGGAAGTCCTACATTCTTGCCTCCCACATGCCTTCCAAGTAAATAAACTACAAACTCCTAAGACATTTTAGAATTACTTCTGTGAGTACAGTCGATAGTGATCAGATGTGCTGTTGTAGTACCAGGTAGCCGCTTGTGTTGAGTGTCCATTGGATAGGTAAGTTTGCCATATACATTAACTATGTCTAGTTGTCAAGGTTGTGATTTGGAGTTAGTTTTTTTCTAAGTTGCCAACACTAGTCAAAGAAGTTGCCAACACTAGTCAAAGTGTGTGTTGTTTTAGGATCTGTTATGACAATAGACAATAGCATTTTAAGGAGGGCCCCGCATGCCCATTTTCTGTACAGTGTAATCTAATTGACTGTTTTAATTCTACGACTGTAACCGGACCGATCTAATAACGCGTGTCCTGGATGGTAAGTTTGCCATGTTCAATGATGAATCCTATGATGAATTCTACGTAAGTCAGCACAAGACATAGACTTTAATAAATGTTAATATAATTTATAGAGACCATGCGCGTTTTTTTGTGTAAATACTACTCTACTGGAATTTGGAAAATGACCCACGCTGTCTTTCCACCAAGCTTCTATTGAGTCGCATGGTTGGGATACATTCAAGTTGATATTTATGAGTTCAAAAAAATCGGCGAGTACAATATTATCATGTGACCCGTTTCTAGCAAACTAGCGCATTTGAAGCTTGCGTTGTGTACAGACTATTACACATATTAGATGTTTTGTGCTACCGTTTTACAAGAAGTTCTAAATATAACAACTCTTCATGAATGGAAAGGATTGTTCATATAAATTTCTATTTCATTACAAATTCAAACTGTTGACACGGAGATCAGTTAGCTAGGATAGGCTAGGTATATCGCGAAGTTAACTCCTCGCGAACATAAATGCACTTACATATATGTTGTACACATCAGAGGTTGGCATTGATAGGTTGTTGACGTTGGTTGGCATAACCAAATATATTGACTAGATCAATTTTGTTATAGGACAAGGTAGAAGTACACATGTATTTTAGAGTTTTTTTTGTGCATGCAGTCCTAAGTATGCCGTAAAATTAATCATGTATGATATATGACAATACATCTGCATAAATATCTACACCAGAGAGAGATTTGTACTTCTGTAAGACCATCGACACAGGTGTTTTATACGGCTTCATTTAGCCTTAAATGGATTTCCTGTTACATTACCTTAAGTTTGCCTGGCCGTAGGGTGCTTGCGGAAG